ATTTTGCACGCATTTTTTCAAGGGTGCAAGTGCTCATGGAGGCGATGCTATCGTCAAAGATGAGGAGATGGACGACGATGACGGTGCCGTCGTCAAAGATGAGGATATAGATGCTGGGAGCTCCAAACGCCAATTCGACAAGCGGGTGCCGCGTACGGCCATTTCCATATCGATATATGTTGACAACAACTGAATCTGTGTGCGAAGAGGTAGTCCGGTGGTCGGGGAGGAGAAATGTTCTGTAGCTAAAAGAAACATTCATTGTCACTCAATTCTCTCTTCATTGCTTTCGCCTGTGACCCCAGTAGCTTTGCGCTGTGATGTGCCAACTTCAATCTTTACACTTCCTTCTTCCGTGTGCGGCAACACCCATCGCTTCATTGCATTCTCATTTCACATCAGCGATGCTTCTGGTGTGCCTTCCATGTCATCAGGTATGTTGCTGCCCGTACCGAAACATTGTGAAAGTTCTAACGTGCAGTGTCCGCAGCGCTCCAATGTGATTCACTTCACTCCTCCATTCTAGCGCCCTCTACATCCACGAACACGACCGCAGCACGGAACTAGATCTTTCTCGTGCCCGAGTATTCGAAGCTCTTTTGTATGCTGTCGACAAAGTTTGACCCACGTCTCTCCACGGCTTCCCTTTCTTCATGGTTGTTCGAACAAAGGCGACACGAACCTCCAATGAAGTGCCGCCGGTCAACAAAGAAATACTCGGCTTGGCCTCAGCACCTCAGCTGATGCTCTACCTCTTTTTTCATCGATGGATGGGGCTTTGTTGCAAAGTTACGCGTCCCACAGGTTCATGTTGTACAACATCTAATAGTTCCATGCAGGACTCCTCCATCACCTTCAACATGAGCGGTGGATCTGCCTCATACCTCAAGCCCGACATCTCCTCATCGACACAGAATATTCAGTGGCAGGTCAATGCTCCCCTTGCTGGTTCACAGTATGCCATGTCTCTTCGCAGAGAGTGGTCACAGAACCCACAACCTTTTTCGCAACGCTACGCGCCCCAAGACCGTCCTGCCGCGACTGAGGAAGCCCGGTCGAGTGTTTAAGCCTCCAATACCGACGATCCCAAACTAAACCTCGAAGAGTACCCTGTCCCTCGCAAGCACTTCGACACTTCACATCCCCTCACTGTACCGACGCATTCACTGCCTCCTCGCTGGGCCACGAGCAACAGTTGAGCAGCGAAACGAAAAGCAAAAGCCCCGCACCGATGCCGACTACGAACAAGACCGCTGAGAGGACTCGAAGTCATCAATTGTGATGACTCGCGGAAGCCTACTACTTCGAGAGCGTTGGACGTGGGCCGTGACTTGAAGTCACTACCTTTGTTCTCCGTCAGCGCCTCTGCTCTCCGAATATGAATCGCTGGGGGGTAGCTTGCTTCGCCTCTGTTGGTTCAGGATATGACTGGCCATCTCGACGGCTTGATGTCTCTCGTCTGGTGCCAGACAGCTAGCCCGATTTGATGGCTGTACCCTCATCACCTGCTGTATTGGTCGCCTTATATCATGTCATGCCGAGTCCTCAAGTTTGGAATGATCTTTCGGGTTACATGTGGCAGGGGGGGATGATGAAAGACTTGACGCGGATGCTGTGCAGCTGAGTGTCACCATGTGTTTGTCTTCACCATCAAGAACCCTCATGCGGTCGAGCTCAACAAGCCCAACGCAGATCAACCCTTTTTGTTATTGCACTATATACTGTTTTTCGTGTTCAAAGTACGCGGGGATTCTGTGTCGCGTGGGAAATGTATCGTATTGTTGTTGTACCACCCCAAATGACTTTTTAGCTCATGTTGTTCGTTGTGGCGATGTTGTCTTTGTCATTCCACAACAGCCTATTCGGAACCCGCGTAAGAGCAGAAGAATAACACACAACCGATGGAATCTCGCTCTATTGGTCCGTGATAAACATTTTAACTATTCCTTGGCCTCTGACAGTCCGCCCAGTTGTTGTTTGTAAGTGTCTAGGGTAGTCCGTATCAGATATTGTACAACCAAGACATGTGTTCTAAATGCATTGGCCGTGAATCAGATGTGATCTACTGTGTGGCTTTCCGACCCCATGTCTGACCAGGTAAAACACTTGAATCACTTTCACCGAGCCAAACATCAAATCAGCTTGAAGAGTTCGTGATCAAGTCTTTGAGATTGATAAGATTGATAACGGACTCTGACTGATCCGGAACTCTGTCCGACCTCGGCAGAATAGTGGGGTTCGATTGTGAGCATGACCCATGACGTGGGATCGCGATGGACCAGTCCCAGTTGACGTGATTCACATTCACCAACTCTATCTACCTTATCTATCTCAACTATGAAACCTCCCTAAACTCTCCCCCCTCAAACATCCTCTAACCTCATCATTATGTCGTCTCCCGCCCCCGACGACACGCGCATCGACGTCGACCAAATCTCAACACACAGCTCCTACGCCTCGTTCTCCGACTCGTCCTCCCGCGCGCGACGAAACAAGGAGAAACAAGCCCTCCGCCTCGCAGCCTTCATCGCAGCAAACATCATAGCCCTCGCCTGCGGCTCCATCGTCGTATTCTCCCTCTACGCGCCCCTCCTCCAGTCCCGCCTGCACTACACCCAGTTCCAGGTCAACGCCGTCGCTATCGCTGGCTCTGTGGCGCTGTACCTTCCTATTTCGCTCATTGGGTATATCTGCGATCGCGTTGGGCTGAAGCCGCTTGCGCTGGGGGGAGGAATCCTCTTTGGCAGCGGGTATGGCATCGCAGCCGGTGTTTATCGGAAATTGGACCTGGAGTATCGGAGTCATCCTGGGTACCGTGTCAATGGAGACTGGTCCGTTCCGTTTCTGATGTTTGCGTTTGTGTGTATTGGTATCGCGACTTGTGCGCTTTACATGGCTTCTGTGTCTTCTTGCGCCAAGAACTTTGGAAAGGGCCGGTATCGAGGATTGGCGCTCGCTACGCCGATTACTTGTTTTGGATTGAGTCCCATGTGGCTGAGTCAAGCGGGAACTCGTCTGTTCACTGAGACGCGGCCAGACGGGTCCAAGGGGGACTTGGATGTATTCCGCTTCTTCCTCTTCCTCGCCATCTTGACTTTCTCCATGGGTATGCTGGGCACATTCACATTACGTGTCGTTGATGAGGATGAGCTTATCGATGAGGCTATCGAGGAACTGGAGCAGAGTGGTTTACTCGATGGAAGCTCACTACTCGGCAGGTCCGAGAGGAGTTACGGTGCGACGGGTGATGAGACCGAGGGCTCAGCGCTGCTTGATCCGTCGAAAGACGACGCAAAGTGGAAGAAGAACTGGGTCCTCAACGCTGAAACGCGTTCATTCCTGTCTGACCGCACCATGTGGCCCTTTGCTCTGGCATTTCTCCTGATCGTTGGACCAGGCGAGGCTTTCATCAACAACCTCGGTACAATTATTGGTACACTGACACCACCTGAGATGGAAGGCCTAAGCCATCGGACTTCAGCGGCGACACACGTGTCCATCTTTGGAGTCACAAACACTGCTTCTCGTATCTTCATCGGTACACTGACTGATCTTCTGGCACCGTATCCCCAAACACAGCATGTTCAAGCACCGCATGCTCGTTCAGCCGTGAGCAACCGCTTCTCCATCTCTCGCGTCGCCTTCATGGCCTTTTTCGCAACGCTCCTCTCAATCGGTCTCTTGATCCTCGCATCCGGCCTCGTCCAAAACCACGCTGAGCGCTTCTGGCTCGTCTCAGGTCTTGTGGGTGCAGGCTACGGCGCAATCTTCAGTCTCACTCCCTTAATCGTCACAATCATCTGGGGCGTTGAGAACTTTGCTACGAATTTTGGCATCATCGGTATGCTTCCTGCAGCAGGGTCTACGTTCTGGGGCCTCGTCTACTCAGCGACGTATCAGAACGGCGCGAACAACTCAAAGTCTGCCCCTGGGGGCGAAGAGCGTGGTGATTTATTCTGCTACGGTGAGCAATGCTATGCTCCGACTTACTGGGCTGAGACTGTTACTGTGTGGGTTGCTGTTGGGTTACTGATATGGGCTTGGAAAGGTAGAGGGGGATGGTCCCAGCGTGGAATTGTGATTTAGTTAGCATGTTATCTCGGCATCTCATCATCTTGGCGTTTTTGGATAGACAGCATACGTGGGTCGGGCCTAGTTAATCTCATAGCAGCATATTTCTGATATCATCAAATACATAGCGTCTCTTAGCCTGCCGTTGTTCCGTTCGTCAAAGCTCCCTGCATGCAGCTTACCCCGGATTTCAGATCAGACTCCACCACTATCTTGACAAGGGGTGCAAGTTTCCCGCGGCCAACTCCCTGATAACTTATCGTCTCGGAGACCAAGCTTAGCAGCCGATCAGCACGGATCTCAAATTTGACAACCGTAGCTCTAAACTCTGTGCATCAGCGTTCCCACTTGGTTCCTTGCAAGATCATCCAGATAGGAAAGTCTCGGGGAACTAATCCGGGGAACTTGGACGTTTATGCCCGACGGAAAAGTGTCAATGGCTGTTATCTAAATAGCACGATCGTGTAGCTAGCAGGCTCAAGATTAACGTTAGATGTTATCATAATCGAACATGGCTGAACGTAAGGGAAGTTCGTGGACGTGGTTGGCTGTATTGCCTGTCCTTCTAGCTGCTGCGTTTACGGTGTATCCTGATGTTTTAGGACGTTCTGGACCAGAGGCGTTGCCTTCTGTGAGGATTAAGCAGGGAACTGTTATTGGGAAGTTTGTTGATGATGGGACGTTTCCTGAACCGTTGGAGGGATTCATGGGGATTCCGTATGCTGTGCCTCCAGTTGGTGAACGACGGTTCAGACATGCTGAGCCAGTGGGTGAGAGCAATGAGACGATTGAAGCTTATTACCTAGGACCAAGGTAAGTTCCCAAACCATCATGTTGAAGTTTATACTGACCGTTGAAGATGTCCTGGTGTACAACTCGTTCCCTTCCTCAAAGACCCCATCCTTGGACCAGATTATGAATCAGAGGATTGTCTCACCATCAACATCTGGCGTAAGAAGGGCCACTCACCCAGCAAGGGAAAACTTCCCGTTGCTGTTCTCATTCCCGGAGGAGCGTTCAATCGTGGTGCAGCGAGGATGCATAATTCGCATACCATGCTTGCCTTCTCAGAAGAGCCATACATCGCTGTTAGCATGCAATATCGCATTGGTGTCTTTGGCGGACTGAACACTGAGTTGACTGCTAACGAGGGTCTGTTGAATCTTGGATTGAAGGATATGTATGTTGCGCTTGAGTGGGTTCAGGAGAACATTGCTGCGTTTGGAGGTGACCCTGAGGATGTTACCATCATGGGACTGAGTGCTGCGGCTCACGGTGTAGGTCGTCTCCCATTGAGCTTCAAGCTGTTACTGACGATTACAGATTGGGCATCTTATTATGGACATCAATCAGCCCAAGAAGCTATTTCACAAGGCAATCATGGATTCAGGAGCTCATACCGCACGAGCAGTCCACCCCCCAAACGCTGCTCTCAACACTCAGCATTTCCGGGAACTTCTCGACCTGACACCATGTTCACACTTCAAGAACCTCAGAGATCCAAAGATCCTCACTTGTCTTCGAGGCCTTCCCTCACAGACTGTGGACAAAGCAGGAAAAGAGGTGTTTCGACGCTCAGATCCTTCTATTCGTTGGGCATGGCAGCCTGTCATCGACGGAGATGTCATTTCTCGACGACCTATTGAAGCATGGAAGTCTGGCAAGTTCCATAGAGTTCCCATCTTGACGGGTTCAGCTGCGAATGAGGGTGCTTTCTACGTTCCCCGGACGGCCGATAAACCTGAAGATTTCACAGGCTTCTTCCGTGAACTTCTTCCGCATCTCACAAAGGCAGAAGTTGCGGAACTTGAGAAGCTGTATCCTGATCCCTCGACAAACCCTGACTCCCCACATCTCGACACTCGTGGCATTCCTGGCGTAGGATCACAGTACAAACGCCTCGAGACAGCATACGGCCACTACGCATACACATGCCCCGTCCGCCAAACCGTAATATGGTCAACATACCACCCCAACGCCGAGCCCGCATATCTATACCACTGGGCTCTCAACAAGACCGCCCTCTTTGGCGCCAACCACGGTGATCAAATGCGATATCAGACGTTTAACCGTGAAGTTCGTGAGATTTCACCTGCGCAGAGGGAAGTAGCTGGACAGTTTCACGCGTATTGTACTAGTTTCATCACAAAGGGTGATCCGAACGCTGTCAAGGGCAAGTTTGCAAA